ATATTTACTCATGTTTATATAACTTTTTCCATTTTTCACAGTTTGTGCACAGATCTTATATTCATTTATTCATAAAAGCATTTGCTTGTTCTCTCGTACTTGCAGCTGAGTCTAAAGATGACATTGTAATTAATACTCTAAAGTAAATTTAAGTGCTGATTACTTTTAAAATTGAAATATTCTAAATATGGAATAATTTAGAGTCAGTGTGTAAACAGACTTGATCAGCTTGTTGTAAATTAGTTGAGACCAATCTGGCAGACTTTATTATTACTGTGAGGTACTGCAGAGGCAGCCATCAATCTGTCATTATGAATGCAGTGCAGAGATGACAAGGTAGAGGAAATGAGATGGGATATGGAGTGGGAAGAGAAGGCAGAAAGAGGAGAGAGGGCATGCACACTTTGCTATGAAGAGATTTGAAGAAAATGGTATTGGAAAAAATTGTGGAAAACTATAAAAGAAGTAAAAATATACTGAAAGGGATGGGGATCAATAGTAAAACATGCTGAGATGTCTTTTATACTCAGAGAGCAGAGATGAATAAAGCAAAGCTTGGGGAATCGATGTATGATGAAAAAGCATGCACTTTTCCTCACCTCTCCAAGTCACAACAGATAGGCTTTTTGTTTGGAGAGGGGTCACAGTAATGTGCCATCGCTGTCAAAACTCATACAATCAAAACCCTAAAGAACCATAAATATTTCAGGGCCAGTCGACTCTTTCCATGTTTCCTGTCCACCTCCGCTGTGGCAGCTGACCCGTTGTCACGGCTCTAGGGTGAAATAAGCTCTCCAAACTAAACAGGAGAGACCTAGAGAAATAGAAAGGCAGCTGCTGGGATTCAAAAAGCAACAGAAAGTCACAAAGCACAGTGTGAAGAAATTGTGCATTCTCTGTGGAAGCAAAGTTGAGGCTACCTGTTGGTCCATGGCAAGACACAGATCTGTTATTAGTTGCTTTTCATTTTGTATATGGCGTGCAGTGACCTGGCATTTCCCATGTTCTCTGACTGTCGCTACAAATCTTTTAGATTATGTGTTTTTAAAGTCTGCTAGAGGTTCCCCACAAATCACTTTTCTAATATCCTTTAAGCCGAAGGCACAACAGTCATAAAACGTCTGTAGCCAGTTAAGTTTTCCTCGCAGGGCAGTTTTACTCAAAAGATTAAAGACCGTTACGCTCGCAAAAAGTTTAATGCATGAAGTTAATGACCTTTATGAGGTTTCATTTTGAGCCTCCACTTTATATATGGACAGACTGTTTTTTCAAAGTTAAACTCTGATGCATGATGTCTGGACAGATAAACCTGTAGACCTAAAACTACAGTATAGTGTTCAATATTATCAGACTCAAGGACATGAAAAGATATTTATAAGTTGAAAAAGACTGTAATGTGATTTGTCAAAAAAAAAAAAACTGATGAGATCTGATGTTTGTCTGGTATATATGAAGCTACTGCCAGCAGTTGGTTAGATTAGCTTAGCACAATGACTGGAAACAGGGGGAAACAGCATGCCTGGCTCTGTCCAAAAAAAATCAAACTACCAGCACCTCCAAAGCTCACTAATTAACACATTATATCTACACCTGCACAGAGAGAGAGAAAAAAAACATTTGTTTTACAGGGGATTAGGTGCCACTGATTCTCAACAGGAGGCAGTGAAGAAATACGTGTCAATCAGTGAGCTTTCGAGGTGCTGGTAGGTGGATTTTGTTACATTTGACCCTTGTTTTGAGTCTTTGCTAAGCTAAGCTAAGCTAACCAGCTGCTGTAAGGTTGTGTGAGTGGTATCAATCTTCTCATCTAACTCTCAGCAAAAAAAAAGAATGTCAGACTACTGCTTCAAACCAGCCTCATTTCAGTTCCAGATCATGATATTCTGATCAATACATTGGTGTCAGAAGGAATAATAATGAATACTGTGCTTACCAATATGTGACATAGGTCAGTCACCTGTCTCTTTATTAGTTCAACATGACAGAGTAGTTCTCTCACACAAATTGTACATCACCCTGGCCTCGGTTATGCCTTATTAATATGCTATTCGAAAGAATATAGTGGGGGCAAAGGTTCATATCCAGTTTCAACCTGGAGATGATTTGTCGCTGTGTTGTATGTTACTGATACCTTGTGTTGCAGGCCTCCGGAAATTTGTTGCAGGATGTTGGAAATAAGATTCCCATCAATGGTGCGGTGCAGATGAAACCAAGCAGATCTGGTCAGCTATTAATGGATGGAGGATAATTTCTACAGTTTCGAGGCCGCTGACAATGAAGAGCAGAAGGTGAACCAGGAGGGAAAATGAAAACTTTTGTGATGTAATCTGTTCGCAGTACCTGAGAGCCTTGATTTAGTGGTAAAGATGAAACAGAGCAAATGTTTTTCATTATAGTATGCTTGTACTGCTCCGTTCATTGCTTAGCAAAGACCTTGTCTTTGCAAAAGTGCTCTTTGATGATGATGGATATCTTATTGAAAATATTAATCTTCCACACAAAATGCTTCAAAGACCCAGAACACACCTGGGGTTTGAACATCTTAAATCTTTAATGGTGATCCTTTCAGCATCTTTGTTGTCTGAGCTGGTTGTGGGTTTTGATGATTTGTTTGTTTTTTGTTGATGGGGGTATGAACAGTTTCAGTGGCTATTATACCGAATGCATGCAAATCTGTGTGCTTCTGCATCTAGCATACTGAATTTACTCTTTTTCTTTTTTTTATTTATTATGGTGCCATTGTTGCAATGTACTAAAGCAATATCTTCCATTTCTATTATGCCCATATGATTTGAAAGTACGCATTTGATTTATTATGAAAAAAGCTTAAATGTCTTAAGATAATTCTATATAAATAAGATTCATGCGTTCTGCTCTCATATCCATGAAAATATGGTCAAATTGCCAATTTATTGCTCTTATCATGAAAGGTATGTCTTCAGGCAAGAGAAAGAAAGAGAGAGGGGGAGTGGGCGAGAGTGATCATTTTACTCTGAGGGATGAGTGATTTTCCTGTTATCTACTAATCTTCAATTACTCAATATCCAGAACAATTTAGGCCTCAATAACTGATCCATTGAAGCAGAGTTAAGAGTTAAGCAGGAACAGATGAGAGCCTTCAGGGCACAGGTTACTAACTCTTCTGCAGAAGACTGTGGTGGAACTGCTGTGCATGGATGTGTGTGTTTTAATTAAAGACACACAATGCAGAAGCTAAAATTGCACTGTCATTCATAAACATATCTAACAATAAGAGGGAAAGCAGCCATACAACCGTGGTCAAGACAACACACCCATGTTTACCACCTCATGCTATTTTTTCTTTCTCTAACCAGTTTTCTCCTTTGCCAGTGCAGCCTGGATTTTAAACTTGACCAAAACAAAGCTACTAAAGGTTCTATTCAATGAATCTGTGATAGCAACATTAGAGGTAATCTGTTTTCTTTCTCTGGAGCCTGGTGCAAGCGCTTAGGAAAATACAAAGGGACACATAATGAAAACTGTAATGGCTTGAATAATGAAAATCCTCCCCAAATGAAAAGGGAGAGTTAATAGAGTTCTGGTGATGATGATACACAGAATCTAGCTGGGGAAGTCACTGTATTGGTTTTACAAGTACACAGTATTATGTGAATTCCACATCAAGAAGAACAGTTATGTGGAATTCACATCCCAGACTATGTAATAAGTACATTAGGTGAATGCAACTATTGTCACAGTCTGTTCTCCTTTACCATCCATGCCCCATTTTTCCTGGAGATATTAAAATATTAAAATATCAAATATTAATATTTAATACAAAAAGACTCTCTGCTCTGAAGTTGTAGTGCATCTGCAGTAAAAAGATCTTAAGGATGTAAATGTGAATGAGCTCTGCGTGGGTGAGGCCATAGAAAAAAAAAAAAGTTGACTTAATGGGTAAAGACTGCCCTCTCAGGGTTTACAATGTCAATTGCAGTTAATATGGTCGTCTGACTTTCCACACAACTCAGGCTGCTGGGTGTATAAACAATATAGAGTAGGGAAATGGCCACATTGCCATTCAGGATGTGATTCCCCACTAGGTAATTAGTTGTTTTTTATGCTCACTTGATGAATGGTTTGTAACCCAATTTAATGTAGTTGAAAGCAAATATAAGGACATTTTAAGTGCTTCTTAATGTATCTGTCAACAAAACCTATTCAATGAGGTATCCATTATAAGTGCATAAGCAGTTACCAAATGATCAATAACTCATTACAATATAGCTGTATAAACAAATCCTTACAGTGTGCTATAAGACATGTTAATCAGTTGTGTTAACCATATGTAGAAATCATTCACAAGTGGGTGTAAAACTGCTGTAGAACAGAAATTAACTTAAAACTCATTCTTGACTTTTGCAGTCACAGCTTACTAGATTTCTTTTGGAGCTTTCTTGTGGCTTTCATCAGCAGAAGGGGTTTGCATATCAGACTGAAGAAGACATGGTATATATGAGTAAATAAATGCTAAAAGTGGCATAAAATACTTTTTCCAGATTACAAATGAAATTCAACCATCCTTATATACACTCTATGAATGTATGGCATTATGAACTAGAAGGGCACAGAGCAGGCCAATGTCAAACAACACACCAGACTTCACAGACAAAAAAATCTAATTCATAGTAAATTATCGGGATTTGCACCATAATTTAATGAGTTCTTCCCAGGCCCAGACCCCATCCCTCCACCAAGTTCGGTGCAAATCGGTTCAGTAACATTGTCGTAATTCTGCTGACAAATTAATAGACAGGGTGAAAACATGACCTCCGCAAGTTTACACAAACAGGTGAGTGAGTAGAGCAGTGACTGTCAAAACATGTGTAAATGTGACTTCACTTGTATTTTCATGCGAATTTATTTACATTTATTTGAATCAGGTGGGACAGCTGTAGTCTACAATGACTGTCGCTCCTATGCTGTGATTTAATTGGTTTAAAGTTGAAGACAATCCCACACACTCCGCCTCACCGCCCAGCCTGTGATGCAGCTCTACAGTGTGGTAGGAAGAGAAAGGGGCTTAGTTAGAGGCTGGACGGGTTCATTGACCAGCGTTTCACTGCAGGTCACGGCAGGACACAGGAGCAACAGGCTGTCAGTGAGGTCAGTGGCCGATTTGACAGCTCGTTTTTGTTTTTAAACCAGTCCTCCATTAGTTCAAGTTAGCTAATCGAGCTAAGTAACCTGCTCTTACTAACTAACGTTACTTCCCTTTTAAGGCTGAAGAAACTTACTTTTCTTGTGACTGCCGAAGAGTGTTGCGTCTGGTGTGACCAGAAGTTGTGATAAATCAGGAGGAAACGATGAAAAGAGTTTGTTATTTTCTGAGGGAACGTTGTTCCTCCTCTGGGGTAAAGTTCATCAACCATAAACTGGAAGAAGTGACAGCTGCCGTGTAGGTATTAACGTTTTATAGTGCGCCCTCTACAGAGTAAAAACGCAGCTAAAATGGGATTTCTGTGGGCTGGTGAAAATCGTCCTCTGGGAACAGGGTTATCACATTTGAACTCAGCCATGTACAAAGAAGGCTGTTGCAGTTATGTCCTATTTTTGCTCCACGTTGGATTGATTCTTCAGAAACTGGACAATCTCTCAGTGACTGCCAACGCAGAGCATTTTGTATTAGGTGTCATATTGTGTTAAGGCAGTGACTCCCAGCCCTTTCAGCTTTAAAAAATGAAGCAATCTCCTGTGTCGACATGAGCTGTGAGCACCTCAACCAGTGAGTGACTTCTGTCCTCTCAGATTGTTTCATTTGAGGCCTAAAGAAATAAAGTATCCAGTGTTTCACAGGGGGGGAAAAAAAAAATTGGAGCCTTAAGTTCCTTATCCATTTATCTCAGGCCCCCTTGGAGGATCCTGACCTGATCTCACTGATCCAGCTCTACACTATTTTAGATTAAACTGAAATATGACTAAGAGACTAATTTTGAAGAACCCAGCCCTTCTCCCTTCTTTGGTTAATTTACTCTTTACTCGTTATGTCCACATGGATAGCTGATTCCTCTTTAACCCACTCACTAGTCGTGATCTCTCTATTTGTTGCACCTCCTACGTTGTCCCTTATGACAAATGTCTCAATAGTTTCCTGGAGGTGTACCAGCTTGTCCATTAATATCAAAGGTCACAGTGTTTCAGCTCCAACAGGAGTTTAGGAGCTTTCCCTTTTCTGAAAGAGGATGATGAGGCTCAAAAGTGTGAGGATATGTCAAAAAACATATAGCGAAACAGGAAGAAGCCAAATAGACTTTTTATGAGTGTACCATGCCTCTGAATACTATCTCGGGTTCATGTCACACTTGATATCAGTGAGGATAGTGTCAGACTTTGCTTTGTGATAAAGCCAGTGAAGATCCCATCAACTGCCTCTCAGAGAAAAGAAAAAAAAACATGTTGCCCAACAAAGCTGTTGCAATAAAATGCAATTTGCAATCACACAGAGCCCTGAGAAATCGTCTGGAACTGGAGAGGTCACGAAAACATCAGAGAGAGTACTTTATTCACTATGACATTTAAAAGAATATGTTAAATAAATATATATGAAGGTCATCCATGGTTTGGAACCTGAGTGCAGTTTGTTAGATATGAGGCTTGCTTCTCCGTCAGCACGTCTGGCTGTCAGGTGGACATGTAGCCTAATTTACCTGAGCATTTACTACAGGCTGGCAGCGGGTTGCAACTGGCTGGATGCAGTCCTCGTGCTACTGCTGTGCGTTTCTCCTCCAGTATGATCCCCGGGGTCATGTCCTTCATTGACTCATCAGCCCTATACATCAGGTCAAGCATGTCAAACGCTTGTTAACAGTGTTGTAGTAAAGACAGGTGGATTGGAGAGCACCTCTGTTTCTCTGTGCCATCTGGTGGAACACAGACAGATGCTGTCCACATGTTGGGAGCTCCAGAAGGAGAAGGGAAAGATCTTGCCGCAGGGGGGGGGGTCTTTCCTTTCTGCTAATGTGCCTCTTCACCCCCCTCATTTGGCATATCTTTGCTTTGTTTTAGATCACTTTCATCTGATTAATCTGTCAATTGTTTTCCAGATTGATAGTCACATTGGGATTTAGTATGATTTAGTATGAGTTTTTTATTTGTGAGGTATTGTATTTAATTCACTGTAAAACAAACATTCCCATTTGCTTGTTTTCTCCATAAATAGAGTCTCACTTGATGATCATATGCACTATATCAATGTCATGATTTATTATAACTGAAACTGAAACTTTAACCTTTAAAGTCATCTAAGAAAAAGTGCCCTTACATCACTGATTCCAACTTCTCAAATGTGAATATTTGATGGTCCTCGGTGACAGCAAATTGAATATTTTTGTTGGTTGTTTGCTGTCACTTTTTATGACATGTTATAGTCTAAATGTTTAATTGATCACTTAAGAAAATAATCTACAGAGTGACCAATGACAAAAATAAAAGTTACATGCAGTCTTACATTCCACACACTTTACCCTGATAGAAGATTTTATCCACAGTATCCCAGTCCTAGATGAAACAAGTCAGATGGGTCGTGGGGGAACAGTAAGATTTCTGTCACTCCTTGTGTGCGAAGTCGAGCCTATGCTCATTTGAAAATGGCATACAAGATCTGCTCATGACTTCAAGAAGAATAGAAACTGGATGTGTAATTGGAGAATTGACAGAATAAGTTATGGGTGAATTTTACCGTTTTCTGTGGCCCAGATAAGTATGACATTGAGTTTTAATTTAAGGCAATACTTCATTGTATTAGTGTAGTAGGGTAATTTTTATCTAAAGCAGTATTTCAGATGAGTAATTCTTTTGGCCTAGTTTTCATTTAAAGCAATATTTTACACTGGTAGAAGTGCAGTATTACTTAATATTTTACTTAGCAGTTTCACTTGATAAATAAATGATGAATGATATCCAGAGGTTCATTCTTCCTGCCTGCCTTCATGTGAGCTTGTGAACAATCAATCTCCAGCGGGTTTACAGTTCTTACCATTACTCACTGCTTTTCTGTGACTCTGAACTATAATTTAAAATTAGACCATTTTGTGTATCCCCAGAATTCTTTCTCATAATTTATCATTTCAGTATTCATTACATGTTCTACTCATTTTTACAGAGACTTTAATATGAAAGCAAAGATCACCTTGCGGTGCCATTGCTCTTTAAAGGTGCTGAAATAGACCTGGGCTGATTTCTGTTTCACTCTTGTACAGTATCAAACTTCACATGTGCTTATCCTACACCTTTTCATGAACAAATCCTAGATTTTTACTTAATTATTTCAGGATGAGATATAGTTTTAAACATGCAAAGATACAGCTGTGGAAAGCAGCAAGAAAAATCCCAATTCAGAATGTACCATTATCCAATTTTTGACTTTAAACTTTGACATACAGACTTGAATTGTTTGCTTGGCTGCACCATTTTATTTTTTTAAGTGCAGTTTCTTCCTCGTTGCATCACAGTGTTGACAAATTAATTTAACACGGCTCAGTCGCCTCTCTGCCCATATTACACTGTCTTACAAGACAGCGATTCTATTTCCAAATTCATGAGGCGCCAGTTCTCTGCAAGATAAAGACTATCAGCCACTTAAGCAAAGAATATCACAGAAGAAGATGTATTTCATCATGCATACCAAGCAATGTGAGGTGAATCTCTGTTTCTGGCACTCTATATTCCATGTCAGAGATTGAATCCAGCAGTCACAATGGCAGACAGTGGGAAGACTAATGAGAGTGGAACTGCAGCAGCAGAAGCAGCTAATGGAGACCAGCAGGTGAGAAGCACTTTGACCCAAAATGACACCTATTACAAAACAGGCATATTATGAACTCATTTGACGGTTAGAATTTTCCCATTTTGATATGCTACTGTGGGGAATCAATTATGATCCCTAGCAGAACACTTAAACTCTGTGCTGAAGCTTTATTCTATAGAGGGAGGATTGTATATGACAATTTTCATGTCTTTTCAATGACAGTATAATGGTTCTTTTGTTTTTGTTTTTTGGTTTGTTTTTTTCCTAGAATGTTGTTTCCCGAGTGAGCAACTTGCCCCTGGTCAGTTCAGCTTGTGAGGTGGTTTCCAGCGCCTACAGTAGCACCAAAGACAATGTGCCCTTGCTGAAGGGAGTGATGGATGCAGCAGAAAGTGGGGCCCGAACTCTTGGAACAGCTGCCACCACCGGGTCCAAGCCTCTTTTGGACATTATAGAACCACAGCGTAAGTTCTTCTCCCTGTGAAGAATATGATGTAATATATGTGCAATGACAGCATTGAAATGCATTATAAAGGACTGTCAGGTCCACTTGTTACCTCTGGGCTAGAATACACCATAAGAATAAAAATAAGTTGGTTCTTCTGAGAACAGAATTTATAGATTCTTTACTCAAGGTTTCACAGAAGTCATTAAAACCCTTTCAGTTGCTACTGCACAGTAAACATGAAACTGTTTTGTTATTTGGTGTATCACTCCTCTCTGATGCATTTAGGAGAGGATTCTTGTTACATTTATTTATTTCTAAGAAAATAGTTGTGTGCTTCTTTCAGTCTCCACAGTAAATCAGTATGCATTGAAAGGACTTGAAAAGATGGAAGAGAAGCTGCCCATTCTTCACCAACCAGCAGACAAGGTCAGACAGAAAGCCATGCCATTATAATGTAGGCAAAGAATATATTTGAGACCCTCTTTTACATATTCTCCTCTCCTTTTTACTGTGTATTTAAATTGATTCATTATACTGTTAACCACTATCACACTAGGCCTTTTTTAGGTACCTTGACACTTAAAAAACACACTCTGATCATCAACCAGCCCTCTTAATCAGTCCAGAAGATGTTTTACACTCCAGGTAACCATAGCAACAATGTTTGCACTTTACAATATGTGAACAGTTACTGTTACCCCTTAGTAAAAATAATCTAGCCACAGGTTAAACTGCCTACAAACAAACATTGAAAATAACAGATGATTTGACCACAGTCTCTCTTTTTTCCTTTGATACAGTGTACGGCCAGGGTATAAGTAGATAACGCATACTGCTGCACCCTGCATTATCATGTAATCTGTTAGCTGCTACTTGTAGACCAAATTATCCCAAATGTTATATCTGTGGATACAATAGAGCTATGTAGAAAATACATAATAGCACCACCATTAGTCTCCAATCACGTCACATAATCTGCTCTTTTGTTTCTCAGGTGGTGTCGGACACAGTCGGTATGGTGTACCAGTCGGTGGCAGGCGCCAAAGATGCTGTGGTGGGGGCTGTGATGGGTGGTGTCGAGCTGACCCGGGCAGCAGTCAGCGGAGGTATCAGCACCGTCATGGGCACCAGGATGGGCCAGATGGTCAGCAGTGGGATGGGCCTGGCCCTCAGCCGATCCGAGGACTGGGTCGACCAGAACCTACCAGTCACTGAGAGGGAGCTGGGTCAGTAGCTGTCCTAAATGTGGAAAACATAATCAGTCCATTAAAACCAGGGGAGGTGATAAACCCATATGTCTCCTGCTGAAGTATAGACAGGTGTGTTTTGACAGTTGGATCAAATGAAGCTGAAACAAGGCTGCAGTTGGAATTTATTGATCACAAGTGACAAGTGGCCAGTTTTTCAAGTTTTTATCACAGATGATTGTAGACAAACAAATGATCATAAGTTAATAATTAAAAGCAGAGAGCTGTTTCACTTCTATGCTCCATAAATAATTCTGATATAAACAAACGTTTTAATAGTAACAAAGCACTTTCAAGTTAGATTTAGTCTTTATATAATGTTACTCCTTGAATTTCCAGATCTATCAAGCAAAGTGGAAGTGATTCCTACCATACTGTACCTTTTTAATTTTTACCTTTGTAAGTGTCACTCTGTCCTTCTTCCTTAAGTTGCAATTCGAGAGCTGCTAAACTGCCTTTTATACATTATAGAGTGTAATGATCCAAACTGTAACTGGCAAACTGCAGTTTACTTAAACTTGATTTATTCCATAATAGATATGTATAAATGATGGCATTAGTGCTATTTGCCATTATAGTTGTTCCGATACTGATACTAGTATCAGAAATCCCTCCAATACTGCCTAAACTACAGTATCAGGTATCAGCAAGTACACAAGTCCATGCACCAATCTGGTACCACGTAATTCATTAACACATTTAAATACAAGGTTAGTAGTATACAGCTGTTTTTTGATTTATTTATTTTTTAATGCAATGGTATGAGCTCAGTACTCTGAAAAAAAATGGTATCGGAATTTCTCTATTTTCCATTTGCTATGCGAGTCAGTACTGTGTCTTTGCTTCATTGATCTTCTGATCAAACAGCAAATTTAATGAGACTGTCCAAATAAATTATCACTATAAAGGCAAGACAAGGTGATGTGGCAAGATGGTGGTGGTCATGATAAAAGTCTTCAATTGTACCACAGTGGCTGGATCTGAACACATCAATAGTCAATGCTATTCATAGAGAGGGAGGCAGGACATTCCAATGAACTTCCCTTCTGTTAACTTGGCCCGTGAAGCACCTACAGTTTCCAACGCTCACAGCTTTGACACCTGCTACTGTGATGTCATGTTATGATGACAGCCGGCCATACTCCAGTATAGCAGTAACCATCCTGTTTTCTGATTTAGGGATATGAAAAGGATTCAACTGCAACAGTAATCAATGGCAGCAGCAAAGCACCATAATGGTAGTACTCGGGGGATTTTGGATTTGTTCAGTGGTTACTGTGGCAGAGGCCAACAGACGCACCAAAGTAGCTTTTAACACAGGCATAGGGAGACAGTGTTACTCTACAACCCTCTTAGCTTCCACAAACTGATGACTGGAGGGAGTGAAGTGACTCTCAACTCTTCTTGTCTCTCTTGAGCAGATGTGCTTTAACCCTGTCAGAGTCAAGTAGCCTTGGAACAGATGCACCAGCTGTCACAGAGAGAGGGGAACCAATTGAGCTTCCATCCATCAGTCAAAACATGCCCACTTCCCCATGCCACACTGAATGTACATATACTGAATTTCTTCAGTGTATTCCTTCACATAACAGTTAAAACTAAAAAACAAAAGGAGCTCTCATGAATGGCTGATGTATTGTTTCTCTTTTAAGAATTGGCAAACATAACATACGCCGCTATACTCACACCGGTGTTGTCACAGATAAATATTTAAAGCCATATATAAAATTCTATATACCTTGCTACATAAAACATTTCTCTTGAATACATATGAGATTAACAATTTTCTCTTTCAGCTGCTGTAGCTGAACCTGCCACCGGTGAGGTGACTACCACATCAGACAGTCCCAGCTACTTTGTCCGCTTGGGGAAACTTTCTGCCAAGGTACAGGAGCGAGCCCTACAGCAGTCCCTGGTCCGTGCACGGAATGCCAAGGATGCCACCTATGCTGCAGTGGCTCAGATTACCAGTACTCTGGACCTGCTAGAGAGTGCCCGTACCAGCCTGGGTACCGCCAGTAACCAGATAGGAGGAGCCTCAGAGCAGCTGCTGCAGCGCTGGACAGAGTGGAAGCAGAAGCAGGCTGGAGCTGGACAGACTGAGTCAGACCCAGATGGGACCAAAGATGAATCTGAGGTAAGGGAGGAAGCAATTGGGAATTGAGGAAATGGTGTCTAACCAGAGTATTAGTGCATTTCAGAGCATTTACAGTACATTTACTGTACATTTGCACCATGTGTACGCTATACTACTTGAACAAAAGAAAAAACCTTCCAAATTTCTCTGAGAGGGACAGAAACAAAACAAGAGTTCTTATCTCAGCAATAAAACAGACTTGTGTTTTAGAGGCTCACATTGCATTGTAATTCCCCAATTGAATCATGTAGGAATTTGGAGTGATATATTATCATCTAATAGTTAATGAATACACCCCTATTTATGATTCACATATATCACACATATTCACATTTCCCATTTCCATTCTCTACCCACAGCAGCTGGAATGGCGGACCCTCACCATGGTGCGTGGTCTGAGTGAGCAGCTGAAGTCAGCGTGCTCCAATGTGGTTTCAAGTGCTCAGGGTTTGCCTGGTGCAGTCCAGGACCAGCTAACCAGCGCAAGGCGATCAGCTGAAGAACTGCACTCCTCTCTGGGGAGTGCCAGCACTCTCACTCCCCTCCTTCTGGAGCGGAGCCGTTACCACCTGACCCAGGTACTAATTGCGCTACACTGTCTTGAGCACAGTTTTATTTTGCTGCATCAGCTTAGTTAAATATAATTTAGTGCCATTTTACATCTTAACACAAATTGAATTGGTGCTTAGATAATACCTGGGTCTTACTGAACAGGTAATAAACAGGAAACTCCTAGATACATTACATAAAAAAACACTGAAACTAGGACAGTCAGCCTTTAGTATTTAGTTATGTACACAACTATAACCTAATTATTTCCCATCCACAATAACGCTTACTTTTGAGGTCAAATATTTGTTTTGATTAAGTATATGGTTAAGAAACTGTGTTGAAAGTAACACTCGTATGTGCTTGTCCCCCCAGGTTCAACAGTCTCTGGATGGTGTCATGGAGTATCTACTGAACAACACACCACTCAACTGGCTGGTTGGACCCTTTGCCCCTCAGATCACTGAAAAGCCAGAGAGAGATGTGGCGATGGAGCAGGATGGCCAGAACAACTAGACTTCAAGACTTAGTTGTGATTCTCCATAAGTTGATAATCAATGTGGTGACACAAGGCTGAAGTTCACTGTAGGTGGACCATTTTAAAATGCATTTACATGTGCTTGCTTTAATGAAAGAGGCCTTAAATTCATTTAATCAATGTTGCCTTCATGATTCACAAAATTTGAATTTACTAAATAATGACACTACATTTGTGATGAAAAAGTTGGAATTTAATTCCAACTGAGAGCTCTGACCTGTGGCCTTAGAGAATTTATACATCTCTGCAATCTATTATTTATGCTGGAAAAGATAAAAGTATTTTTACATGTGTTGAAGATAAAAATGAGTCTGTGCCCATACTGCTGTTTGAAAGACTTTTGTTAGTGTTTAAAAATAATTCGAAAGCATTCCCAGAACTAAGCCAATTCTTTATTGCCAAGGCCATTTCAGGGGTTACGAGGTTCCCCTTAATATAGGACACGCATCTTTGCGCATTTCATTTGTTTTTAAATCTACAGTTTTAATTTCAGTATTTTGTGTCTGTACCTTGATGTGTTTATGGAAGCAGCTAATGAACTGTCAATGAACTGATATGTCAATAAATTCTGGACACGTTGTTGTGGTGTTTTTGATGTGTGTGTTTGTGTGTGTGTTGGGGGTGGACTTGTTACTGTCTGACTCGATGCTGGGATGACGTCATGGTCGTTGTTTCGAATGTCGGGAGGTAGCGCTGGGTAGGAGGCCGCGCGCTCTGCTGGGGACACAACTTGTACAAATCTGAAGCCCAGGGTCGTCGACAGCCCCCGGTACCTTGAATTTCAGGTACTGTCTTCATCCTAGACCGCTAAGGGAGACTGCCGCCGTTTGTAACCGATTTTAAAACCAGCCAGGACACTGTCGGGAAGCGCACTGTTTTTGGGCTGGCTGATTATGCTAGCAGTTCTGCTAACGTTAGCCTGCGAACACCAGCGTTTATTCGATTTAAAACACAAGATTTGTTTACACTTTGTTGCTAAGGATGCCTTTCTTTTTTATTTTCTTGATTTTCATCATGATGGAAGGCTACCAAGCGAGTTTTGTCCTTCTTTTTGCATTGGTATGCAGTGTCAGACAAACAAAACGTCCAGCGAGGCTGTTTGCTAATGTTACAGTATTTGCTTTGAGCTATGCAAGCATAGGACGCCAATTGTTTTCTGCTGCGGACAAACTCAGACTAGGGACAGTTGTTTAGCTAGATTGTAAGCAACGTAGTGTTGACGTGAGCCAAGTCATTTGTTAATTTGAGGGCATTGTTTAAGTTTTGAGGTGGTTTTGTGTAGACATGTCTTTAGCTTTTGTTCCTGTTTTGTTAACTTTGTCCTGACCAAAGCATCTTGCTTTGCGGCGGAAGAAAGCATAAAGCAGCTGAGCTAGCTTATGTTTTCGCACCCTGTAACTTGTTTTTCTACAGTGAAATTGTGAACGACACCATGAACCTTTAGTTTTCATTGCTGTGCACAGCTCTACACCTATTTATTTTTGACAAATCCATAGGTTGATACTTTGAAAACTCCTGGCGCATTTCCCGAATGCTGCAGGAGGAGCATTACAATATTATGTGACACGTTTTATTTTGTATTTATTTGATGTCATGTTTTGCCGTTTATGTCAGATATTGTTTTTGTCCTCTTTATTCATTTGGAAACATAAGTTGGACTGCATTTTCACTTAAGGGTGATTATGGCCATTTCTGCTTTAGTGGCAAGGGGTGACTTTGTCATTCTGTTGTTCGTTTGGACTTAATATTTGTTAATGTAAAAAAAGTTATGAACCTACTTGACAAACTTTTATTACAGCTACAATTAGTTGGCCATAACCCCTAGCTTACAAAGAAACTCACATTTTTGCTCCAGTTCTACTCTCATGCTCCAATGCCAGTCTCCAAGCTCTTTTAGCTAATAATGAATAAAAATGTAACCACATAGGGACTGCTAATCATTTTGACTAACTTCTGCAACCCCATTTTCAGGAATATCCTCTCCCATCCCCCTTACCCCCTCTGTCAGAGCATGGCTCAGGAGACCAATCAGACGCAGGTGCCAATGCTTTGCACTATGGGATGCGGTTTCTATGGTAACCCCCGCACCAACGGCATGTGCTCGGTCTGCTACAAGGAACACCTGCAGAGACAACAGGGAGGGGGGCGATCCAGCCCCCCGGGAGAGAAAGGTAGGAAGATAGGAGAGACATGACCTACAAAAAGCAGGGGTAAGCTGGACATGGGTGTGAAAAGTGGAAAAGTCAAGAACTTGGCATAGGGGGTCACTCAAAAACTATACAGGCATGGGGGTGCTTGAATTTGCTAAAAGGGGTTGGAGAACAGAGGTAGCAGTAGCTGCCTGCACTGTGGCATCAGAAAGCAAGAGAGTGACATCTCCATCTGTTGTTTCACATTAACTCAAAACACCTCTGATCATGTTAGGCAAACACTGAGGCAATGAGTGGAACATAATAAGATACTTTTTAAAAAAAAAAGGAAAAGGAAATCATGTCATATTGTTCAGGGCCAAAACAACAGGTTTTGTGCTGCTTGTGTTATCAGACTGTCTTTTCCCCACACAGCTGCTACATCACCAGCAGGATCGCCAGGATCAGCTGGGGTGACTGTGGAGAGCACAACCTCAGAGCCCAGTACAGAGGTGGCAGGAACCCCACCTGAGGAACAAACAACCAGGTATGTTGACTGACAGTTGGTGTAACTGCTCGGCCCTGTCTTCTTCTACAGTTTGCTGGAACACTAAATCATTGTGAATCAGTTTTAATTTTGATGTCCCTCAAAAAGTACAAAAAGTAAAATTGTAAATGCAGTTTTCAGTCAGTTTGAAATCTTTGTTATGAAGCTGATCAAACTATATAATGACATGAAAATAAGAAAACTTTGGCCCATCATCCTATACATGGTGTTTGTCAGTATATTGGACATTTGATTAAGTTGTTAAATAAATGAATGTTTAATTGACTAAATAATGAATAGATCAGTTCATCACAAGCTCCAGCACATTTTCTTCTAATATGTTCTCATTAGTCCCCTTCAATTAATTCTAGCACAACAGCTTGCCTCTGCAGAAATCAGAGATGTTAAGGTACTGTGCATATTTACATCTCGTTTGTCAACCTACAACCGTATGGGATGTTACAATCATTTCACAACTCAAATATTTTTAGCTTAACCAGATGACTCTGATAAGAGGTCTTTGCCAGTTGCTACAAAACTTTCAGCCAGTTTTGAGGAGTTGATACACAACAATGTGCTACACACATCACCAACTCAATTTTCTAGAGAAGCAAGGCCAGACCATATTTTATAGCATGTTTGTAATGCTAACTATAAGCTGAAATTTTGTTTGATGTCTTTGTCATTTAGTTGTTTTTTCTGGATGTTAACAAATGCAGCAGTATATCATCTCCTTTGCTTAAAGTTTACACTGAAAGAAAAAGCTGAAGAGTAATGCACTGTGCTTTTAAAAATTGCTTGAGGGCCTGTTCTGAAACCTGCTGCATAATGTTGAATAATCGTTGCAGGCCTAATTCATTTTTTTGTAATTAAGCATTTTGTTACTCCCCTTATATGGTTTGCTTTAGCTATGCCAATAAATAATTCTTTTTGAAATATAAAATAGATTTCCTTTGTAGCATCATGAAGAAAGTGTGATGGGTGAGACAAGTAAGTGAAGATGATTATGTCTTAGAGCTCTATTTCAAAAGTTTAAGAAAATATTTTCATATTATAAGATGCTGTTTGTCCTGGATTTTGTTATAAATGTAACTGTCAATTGCTGGAAATAAACCAAACAAATACAGACAATCGGGTTAGATCTTAAAGAATGAAAATCAGATAAAAGATTTGACAATTTAATATGCGCAGTAAATATACTGTAGTGTAGTAATAGACCCGTGTCTACATTACTGAGATTCTTGGAAAACACAGATTGCACACATTATAATGCACCCACTTGTAATGGGTTTATTCTTCCCAGAATGTCTACAAAGAAGTCCAAACAATCTTTTGTTCCCAGTGTGATAAAATTTCAGAGTGGATTTGCGCCCGATCTGCCTGCATAGTGTTGTCATGGATAGTTGTTTGCACTGTACGGTTTCTGTAGGCCCTGCATGTTTGTGGTGGCCTTTGTCTTGCCAAGTTGATTGTGATAGCTCATCAAAGTCATCTCTCAGAGTAGTTTATCGCGAGGGCGCCAGAAGAAGAGCCAAGACATTAGTAGTCAGTCACCAAACAAAATGATGGAATTTGTGATGGTAATTCATTCTGGAAGGCAACAAGAGCATCTAAGTTGTATGTGAAGTTAAGAAGGGTCTCGCTAACATTTGCAGGCCAAAAAAAATTTCCGATTTAGAGAAGAATTCCTGTATGGTCTTAAATTCATGTGATGGTTTTTTTGTTTTGTTTTGTTTTGTTTTGTGATGTCAGTCCTAGTTCTCCCAGCCCAGTAACTCAACAGATGACCGCTATGAGCATTTCCCAGGATTCAGGAGCTGTAGACTCGGATCGAGCGGAGGCTGAGGAGGGAGAAGAGGAGGGTACTTCCAACAGCACAGGTAAACATCACAGAAAATGGTGGTCCTTTCCAAGACTCCACAATGAAGCGTCACATGAACTGAGTAGTCGGCAATGCAGGGCACTTTTAATTCAGGAGAAGGGGTATCAGTAAACTGGTAAACAGTGGGATGAACTTGCTACCTTCTACCATTAGCAAGAAACATCCTTCATCAAGGATCCTGTATATCTCATTTCATGTTCAGCTGTAGACTTATAGTATGTGCCCTTTCCTCCTTGTTAGTGTTAAACATACAATTATCCTGTCAAGGTGTTCCTTGACACAAATATGGATTCATTTTTGCTTGTTTGTTTGTTTTCCCCACCAGAGCCAGTGGGGGAAGCAGCACAGGCTTCATCTGATGGTGAACAAACCCCTGATAAAAACAAGAAAAAGAACCGCTGCTTTTCTTGCCGGAAGAAAGTGGGCCTTACTGGTAAGGAAGAAAGGGATTTTATGGCACGCACACACATACACACTGAACCGTGAGCTCTTCTTAGCTACTGGTGTGGTTCAAAGGTTTATGAGTCATGAACCTCCCTTGCTGGGACTTTCCTCTTCTTACCTGACAGTCTTAACCTGTCAGAGTATGAAATTCAGAATAGTTTGCTTAAAATACCAGTAATGTTGTTTGTGAGAAGTTCTTTTGTCTTATGATGCAATGTCCAAATGTTTATGTGGCACTGTGTGTCATGATTTGTTAGACATTAACCATAGGCCATTTTTAATTCACAACACTGTCATAGCTCTCGTTTGAATCTTAAGCAAGATATAAATGTAATCCATAAACCAGTTTATGTCTTGCCTTGTGATGGCATAGTTTCTCTATCAATAAATGACAATTAGCGTCTGAGAAAGAGCTCTTTGATTAGTGGTTTAAAACACTGGGCCAGGCTTACTGATAATGCTCTTATAAAACAAATCTTAATGCATATCACAGTTGTTGTGGTTCCCAATGATCAACCAAAGGTACTTTGTTATTTTCCATATATATTCCTTCTCTGGCTCACGCCATTTGCCAAAACGATAAACAACTATTTGTACACATTTGATTTAATATTAAATTATTTTAATAATTGCACCATTTAGGAAAAGTCAGTCAAGACCCTTTCACTCTTTGATTTGGATCTAAATTTGACTTCCACATAGACATGGTCAGTAAGTTTCGTCTACCTAAAAAGCATCTAAAAATGTGATCTTGTCAGACCTCTGCTGATTTGAAAGAGGTCATTAATACCTTTATTTCATTACACATACATTCCTTAAAATGCTTCCATTCATACCTTAGCAAAAACCTCTCTCAGCTGTCTGCAAACTAAACGGCACCATGTTACTGCCATTCAAGCTTCCTGGCTTATTGATGCATGTAGAAATAACTTAAGATCTATTGCTACTTTCGAAGGCTTAATGAGATCAAATGCCTGTAACCTACATATCCAAAACCTCACTACCAGCCAACAGTTTGTGTAATGCTTTTTCCACACCCAACCACTTTGGTGCAGAGAGCAACATACTGCAGGTTAGTGGTGCATTTCACAGTCCAAGGCATTTCACAGTGTACAGTGGCTTCCACTTTTTTGCCAAGCAGTATTGCCTCACAGGAGCCTCCAGGAGCCTTTTTTAATGTCAAATAGTATTATTTGTATATGAGCCTGATAATGGCAGTACCCTCAGGGCATAGTCAAGCTCATGTCCAGTTTTACTCTGTTTAAGGAGTGTTTTGTTGTACAGCATTGCAGAAATATTCATATGGCCAGTTTAAACTCTGAATGTGTAATGATGTTTATAATGAAGATTCTGTGTTGGACTGAACCTGTTTACCTCTCTTTACTGAAGGTTTTGACTGTCGCTGCGGCAACCTGTTCTGTGCCATTCACCGTTATTCTGACAAACACGACTGTCCCTATGATTACCGGAGTGCAGCTGCAGCCCGCATACGCAAGGAGAACCCCATCGTGGTGGCTGAGAAAATTCAGAAGTTATGAGGACTGAGTGCAAAAAAGAAAGTCTCACTGACTTTGTGAATTTGAACAATGGCAACTTGGATGAAAACACCTGATATCATGGCTTCATTTGTTCATGGTAGTCTAAGATGGGCGGGGTTGGGTGGTGAGGTCGCAGCCACTGTCCAGACGCTTCCCTTACTAGCATCTCCCTCTCTCTCCACTAGTGACTGCGGCTGAACCTGAGTGTTTCTGTGTGTGTGCGTGCGTGTGTGTTTGTTTGTATGAAAGTGTGTGTGCACATTTGCTTGAGAGTCTGGGAGAGAGCCGTAGGGGCTTGGTGGACATTAGTGTTGCTGTGGGGAGGGAAGGTATTTGATTTTACCCCTTTTTGTTTCTCAACTTGGGGGATCGTGTGGGTTTATTTTTATACAATCCCTGTGAGGTAGTTGAAATGAGACAGGGGTAAGCTGTTAAAGAATGTGTCGCAGCCAGGATAACGACACAGAGGTCAATTTAGAGGGTCTAGGAAAAAAGAAAAAAAACGAACTGCGAGATTTCATGTATCAGCAAGACCTTTTAAGGGCTTTGGATTATAAATTTTTCTCCCAGACTGAAAATGATGTCAACTTCTTGTCAAATTGGCATTTTTTTTCCCCCACCTCCTCCAGCTTTTATTCTATGGGTCACCACATGTTGAACTCCCAAGTCTCAGCATTTTCCAGAAATGTTTCTCTTTGATATATTGACTTATCATACTGATATTGGGTGCATGAACAGTTATTGGAGGGGGAAGGTAGGGGAGGGCATGGGTAGGGGAAACTGAGAACCTTGACTTAACTGAGTGATTGAATTCTGTGTTTTGTTTTTATTTTATTTTTATTTTTTTTCTTTCTGTTTTAATGAGCGTATGACATCAGAAGATCTATATTAATATATTGTAGTTAGCTTGAATTGTGTGATTGCATTCTATTTATTTTTTATCGTTTGGTTGGTCTGTGCTGGAGGATTGGCAGCATGTGTCAGCAAATCATTAAGATTTGCACTTAACCTTTTCAATTATATTTAAGTAATTCCATCTTGATTATATAACCATTGAAGAAAAAATACACAAGCTCTGACATGATGGAGTAGAGTCCAGTTAAGCCGTTACAATTAAGGTTGTGCAGTAAAATGTCCATTCTTTTGGATTTAGAAACAAAGCACAACAAAGTGTGTCAGCTGCGGAGCACAAGATGATGTGCCATACCTACTCAGTTTTGTTCAGCATGTGGGTCATTTGCAGTTTATATTTGATCTGTATAGCAGGCTCGCTGAAGGAATTGCCTTCTTGTTTGGTTGAGGCAGCGTATTCTCCTTGAATGCCCTTTTCTGTTCGTTGGAGTCGGAGCGATCGCTCCGTGTTTCTCAAACCACCAGCAGACCACTGACACATGCTGAATGAAAACTGACCTGGGTCGCAGTTAACTCTACACATTGACACACCTGCTCAGCTAACGTAAAGATTGTCGCGATGCTACAGAATTGCGTGCTGTGCTTTTACAATGTGCTAAGATTCAGATGAGTCCTTACTACGAAGACCGCTTCTAGCTAGCTTCTTCTAGGAAGATCAATCCTACATGCATGTGTGCAGACAAACATATAAGTTACTGTTTTGTAACTGACTGCACAGTTTGAAATGAAGCTGGAATGTTTAAAAAGCCACACAGCAGTAGCACAATGCATGGCTGGAACCTTAAGGTTCAAGCTAACAGGACTCTACAGTGTTTTTTTTTCCAAATGTAAATACCATATGGCTCCTATTCATATAGTATAATCTTATTGTAGATTTTTGCCAGGTAACAAAGTTGGGGGACTAAGGTGAAGAATAGTACTATGTGTATAAAAGTGCTTTTCATAATTATCCAAAAAATGAAAGTGCCACAAATGGCACAGATTGTTTTTTTTTTTTCCCCCATCTTGTTTGCTCTTTTATATTTTATCACCCTTGTCATGTCCAAAGTATGTTCAGTAACTGGCTCGACTATGAGTATCTCCTACAGGCCAAATGGCTACTTTTTTTATTAATACAATACTTTTCAGTTTGTTAACAAGCCCCTCTAAGCTTAATTAACCTTGCTGAATTACACAGTATTCCTGTCCATGCTTTTATCCTGTTACTGAAGTCTATTCATAGCGTAGCGGTATTACTGAAAATTATAAAGGCCTCTTGTGAAATGTAGAAGGGCAATTGAGGCTTCATCTTTTCATTATCAAAAGCTTTCCTTGTAAATGTTGCTTGATCGTGATCATCAAATATTTATGAAAGCTGTGGAAAAGTTGCAAGGAATTTTCAGAGTATGCGTTTTTTAAAGAAGCTAGTGCAGACTGGGTTGGACATGAATGACCCTTTTCCTTGAATACACAATATCATATTGGACCTAGCTGTGTTTGGCTTGGGCGCCTGTGATGGGAAAATTGGCCTTCACCAGAATTCACATTAAAGTCTTAGTAATGATGGACATGTCTAAATTACTTTGTGATTTAACATGCCAACACGGGGACTGTTTTCTTGGGATAAGTTGGTCATCTAAAACCCCCAACTGTGATTTAATTTCTTCCTACATCCCACCACTAGTGGGAGATTTAAATCCAGAAGGCGTTTATGGGGATTCTTGTGTGCTAATTATGTTCAAGGAGAATAATTGTCCATATTTAGGGGAACTTGTGGTTGGAGCAGCTCTGCAGTTATGTGTTCCCTACAGTGTATCTTGTATATTCAGACTTGCCTGCTGGGTTGACAACCATAACACAATATTGTCGCCTACAGTTTCCTTTTCAGATTGATAGTCCTTTCAGAGATAAAGCCCTTGACTTGGGATGATTGTTCAGCTATGTAAATCATGTGCATTTCATGGTTTACAATTGGTGTTTTCTATTGACTGCTCATATCACATCCCTTTTTTTCTAAGCAGACATGAGCAGTTTGAATGTAAACCACCATCATTCACACAATAAGCCGTAATGTCATTTATCAAACTACTCGGCCCTAATATTGATTATGTCAGAAGATGGAGGCCCAATTTTCTTACATGTTGTTTGGGACAGTTGGATAGCTGAAATTTGCTTTGACTGTTTGTGATGAAGGACTTGGCACCAGCATTTAGGGCAACCATACCTAAGTAATCTAGATATTATCATTACATGTATGTTTATCTTCCTTCTATTCTGTTGCTTTGATATTTTCATCTCTTCAATCCCATCTCTAGCAAAACCTTTCTTAATCACTGTCTTCATCATGCAAGGGTTTTGATTGATAATAATGATAAACCTGCCAATTATGATGAGTGAGCTAACTGCAGAAGTAAAGACAAAAGATGATTATTCATTTTGTCTTTAGAGATGAGCTTGAGGGGCATGAAAGAAAATCTACAATGTTCACAGAGCTGTAGTTCTTGTCCCTTGGCACTCCAGTCCCCCAGAAACACCACCAGATATCTTTTTATTTTGTTTTTCTTTAAAGATTTAGGATTGTATGATGTGTAAGAGTAAGTATAAAACAATAAAATCACAAAGTTTATTTTAAATTACACTTGTCTTTTGTATTTATTTTTGCATTTTGGTGGATAAATATTCAAAGGCTGAAAGCCATTGTTTTCTAGTAGTTGTAGTTTTAAAAGTTGAGTTACAACAATTTGTGTATTCACTGGTGTACAGTTGCATGCACTCATGGTTTCTTTGCTGCCACAGACCAGTATGTCTGTATACTGTGGCCCCACTGCTTTGTACATGTATATTGTTCTCAGACTCAGCAAAACAGTGTAGACACAAATGGTACTACACAACAGCACATAATGTGCTTTAGTGTACGCTGTAACAGGAATTGTCATGATGGCCTCTTAACTGCACTGAATTAAACACACTTATTCTGTGTCATTTGAATAGCAGAATTATATCATCGGGTTACCTTGATATCACAGTCACATCATACATTATTCTTCCATCATGAGAATTAAATATATTAAAAAAATCAATTGTATGTCTGTCTTACCCAAGAACATGGCAGCTTTGTCACGCTGCACTTCATCAAAGACTCTTAAAAGTCTTTGGATATGGTGTACCAGTATGAGTGGGAATCTTGGACCAGAAAAAACATACACCCATTGATGGTGAATTTGAGAAAAGCACCAAACAAGAATCAGTGTGGTTACAGTTTCCTGCCAGTCAGACTTAAAACACTGACTACAAGTGTTACAGTCATTAGTGTATATATTTAAAGCAGGTGTGAGGCATATTTTTTATGAAAGAAATATGGAAACTTTTAAACTTTTGTAGTACACTTTTATGTCAGTTTTCCCTCATGTTTTGTTCTGTAATTGTGTGATTGATTTTGTCATACAAGGTACAATAACTGAAGCCCATGACCTACCCACACAGGTGTTTTCACCTAACTGGCCTGTACAGACTGTGCTAGATTTTTACACCAGAGGTTTTGATTTACCATTGCAGGAAAAGCCCAGGTGGAATTAATAACATTAACTATGGCTCTGTTCCATTAAGTATCTCAGTAAGCTATAATAGTTATAATAATACCAGGACCTCCCCTAGGTGGAATGCAGCCATCATTAATGTTATTATATACACCTGTGCTTTTCCTGCTTTGATGTGTCAATGTCTGCTGTGAACAAGTTCTACTGACATCCCTCCTCCACCCTACTTTAATGGGTCAGCTTACCCAAATAAAAAATAAAAAAAAGTATACTTTTTGTTTATGTAACTACCTCAGTCCCAAAAATATAAATACCACTACCATTAACCATGACTACTTCTGGTGACCATAGGTGGGTTACATATCAAGCAAGTTTAAAGGCTGACGTTTGCAGTTCTCTGTAATAGGTAGTGAGGGTGGTTTCTGAGTCAGCAAAGCTTCTTCCTCAACTCACAGGAAATCTCTCTTCTCTCCCTCTCTCTCTCTCTCTCTCTCTCTCTCTCTCTCTCTCTCTCTGTGTTTGTGTGTATGCTGAATGGGAGGGGTCACGCAGGGACAGATTATGAGAAAATGGGCCCTTTGGGCACTGATAAGTAAAAGGCGTCCCGCCCCTCCTACTGAAAGACACAACTAGAAATGTGTCAATTGTTGTTATTTTGTGTGTCTTTGTGGTAATTTACTTTTCTTTTTTAGCTGGTTTCATCTCTTTGTAGGCTAGTTGTTTTGTGTCTCTTAATGGAACTCAGACATGCAAAGTCTTTAGCTTCTTTCACTCTGATTATTATCATTCATTTTTTTTTGTTTTTACTTCCTCTGTGTTGATGTTCTTATTTGTCTTGTCTGGTTTTATGTCTTTTGTAAATCACTTTGTAACATTATTAAGAAAAGTTCTATATAAATAAAGTTTATTATGATTATGATTAGGTATTATTAAGGCCATTTTGTCTAGCCTTCTGGTTGTTTTGTGTCCCTTTGTGGAATTTGCATCTATTTGTAGTTATTGTGTAGTGTTTTTATGTCCAGTTGTGGCTGTCTTGTGTCTTTTAACTGAGCTCTTTGACTTTCAAAACAAGATATATTAACAGTTATTTCATACAGAAACTGGCCCAGGGGCTTGAGAGGTCAGGGGTCCTGTGACTGGTAGGTCTGTTCAGGAAATAGTGGCCGGCTATGTATTCCCGTCAAGTATTATTTTATCAGAACCATGATGATACATCTTATTCTTTGTTTAGACAAACAAATGAAGAAGATGTGATAAGTTCAAACCGACTGTAATTAATCATTGTAGTCACCAGTAAAAAAGTAATTGTGGTGATTCATAAGCACGTCATTCACAAAGGTCACTTTACCATTTACGTTTTTTTTTTGTCGAAGGCGCAAATTAACAATTAAGTTCAAATATGTCATCTTTTACTTCACTGTCCCTCAGACTGATAACAAGTTTCCCTTAATTGTCCAATGGAAACTCCTTACGTCACATCCTGTCAGCTGTCGCTTCCTGATGCGGTGAAACAGCAGAGAAGTAAGAAAACACCGCACATATATGGATTAATTTAAATGACATAGAGTGACGGGAGACGCCAGCACCTTCTCCAGAGGATTCACGGAGACGAATGCAGACGCCGGGAACCGTGTTTTAACGGTGTTGTACGCCGGGTGTCCGTGAATGAGCGCTGTTTTAGCTGAGCAGTCGTGTTTTATGTCTTCTTGCTAGCTTAAGCCAACGTCGCGTTTAGCTGGTACACGCAGACAGATAGACTTCTCTCTCCGGTAAAATATGACACACAGTCACCGTTATTCTCGATACATCACAGGGGGAAACAGCTTTATGCTTGTTTGATTGTAACTGGAAAACGCTCGCTTTTTTTGGTCACTTAGAGGTCAAGACTGCACTGGAAACGCCTGTTCCTCACTGTCAACACAAGAACGAAACTGAGGAAACAATCATCGGTTTCTTGTCCAGGACATCGTGTCTGAAAATCACTCGTGAACATCTCAGCAAGTGGACAAAATGGCTGTGACCTGGACTTCAGTCAACACGCAGAAAACACAGCAGATACTTTGTAAATAGTAACACTTCACTCAGTCAGGTTGGCTCCACTACTTTTTTCCTGCTTCTGCTGACAGGGCACTTAAACAGTATCCTGTGTTTGAATTTGTCTGAAGTGGAGGAAGTCTTGTTCGTTTTTTAATTTTTGTTGCTGCACAGTTCATTTTTGCTTAGACTAAGCTCTTCAGTTCAACAGGTAGGCCTGCTGTTGTTGTCATATACATGTATTGTATGTTTGGACTGATGTCATCTAATAATTATATGGCTTCTCTGTTAATTATTAACTCTTAACTATAGTTAAGTCACAAGTTACAATAATTATGCTTATTCAGTTTTAGAGCTCAAACAATAAATCAGTTAGTTGATCGACAAAAAGATAATCAGCAATATTTGAAAATTGTAATTTTTTCAAGCAAAAATGCCAAACATTCATTGTTTCCAGCCTCTCAGTTATGATCATTTACTGCTTTTCTTTGTGTTATGTGATAGTAAACTATATATTTTTGGGTCTTAGACTGTTTGTCAAACAAAAAAGTATTTTGAAGACATCACTTTGGGCAAATTTAATTGTGACACACATTTCACTGTTTTCTGACATATGTATTTATAATCAAATTAATTGATTAATCAAGAAAATATTCTGGAGATTTATCAAAACTAGATAATAGCTGTTTGTAGCCTTGTTTGATTTTTATAATATTTGTAACCAGAAAATATTAAATGTTATTACCTGGTAAATCATTAAAGTCATAAAGAGATCAGAGCCAGTATCTGTTTGCTTAGAGTCTTCACATGTTACAAAGCTGCTGTTGTAGAAACATTTTTATCACCGTTGTTTTCACACTTGGACTGAGAGCCTCGTACATTACATTGTAATAAGTATCTCATTGTGTTAACACTGGGATGCTGTGGATGCATCAGCACAGTGACCCTCTTGTCCTCCTCCTGCACAGTAAAGGATGAATGGCCTCTCGCTCAGTGAGCTCTGCTGCCTGTTCTGCTGCCCGCCCTGCCCCAGCCGCATCGCAGCCAAGCTCGCTTTCCTGCCCCCTGAGCCCACGTACACCTTTCTTCCCGACCCAGATGCAGGCCCTGCTGCGACGGGGACAACAGGGACATCGAGTCTACGGGCGCGGAGCGGTGCGTCAGTCGCTGGAAGTGGAGGGGCCGGGGCTGTGGAGGGGAGATGGAAGCTTCACCTGACGGAGCGGGCAGAGTTTCAGTATTCACAGCGAGAACTGGACATGACAGAGGTGTTCCTCACTCGATCCAGTCGGGGGAACCGAGTCGGCTGTATGTACATTCGCTGTGTTCCTAATGCCAGGTAGGTAGTTTGAATCGGTTTACCAGTCAGGTTTCCAGTCAGTGTCAATTCTAACTGATTGTTTGTGTACGATGGATCGTGGCTGGCTTGACCTTTCTCATTCATCAGTCATATCACACTTTCTGTTTCTACGCCCTTTCTTGTCAGTCTTCTCCCATGCACATTCAGGTCTACTTCCTTTACTTGTCTCCCTGTTGACTCAGCCGACTCAAAGAGTTTTAGTTCACTGCCATCCATTTTCAACAGCTTTCAAGATCATTTTTCCATTCGTTTTTATCTTGTAGTTTTGTAGGAAGTGCTACCCTGTGCTTGGGGATTCGGGTTTATGATAACGATATCAGTTTTCACTGAGTCAGAGACAAAACATGTTCAGCTGTCTTGCTTTCTCTCTTGTAGGTGTGTGTCACTGAGATTATTGGCAGTGATTGGTAGATTTTTTTTTTTTTTTATGAGAGGTGATCATATCTTTTTTCCTAAGTTAAACTGTATTTTATGAGATGTGTAAGTATTTAATGTCAGTTTGACACTCATCCTGCTGCACTGTGCAGCTGCTGATTAATTTACCAAATCAATTAAAAAGAAATAGACCGGCTTGTGTTACAGACCATGTATCTTGTATTAATGTCTATCTAGTGTTACACAAAAATGAATCGAAACTCGACGTGATATGGCAGAGTCATTGTTATGCTACATTCTGAGTGTAAAGGCCAAGAGCAAAGCCACGGGTCATATGGGTTCAAAAACAAAACCATTGAGGGAGGATCTCAAAACAGTCCTAAAAACCTATCAGATTTCTCTGAGAGCTCAACATGCATTCATGAATAAAAGGCAAGGGCTAGAATACCCAGCGTTTATAGTGGATACTCTGCTTCTCAGGTTGTACAAAATGTCTAGAAGTAAGAGTCATTTGACATGAGTCCATGGTGGTAAACTAATCCTCCAACATGCAGTGCTTTAAGTCAAAGATGTGTTTGTTGTGGAGTCTTAGTGACCTTTCTATGTTTATCTTAACAACAGCTTGTTTATGGATGATTTAAGCGTAGTTACCAGGTCAGATTTGCGGTTGGAGAAATGTGATAAGATGGATTATATTTTATAATGGTTTGCTTGTTTGTGTTTGTTTTAATGTTAATTTTTATCCTTCATGTGACTCTATTCTGCTTCATAAGTTCAGTAGAACTATGAAAAATTTTCATTGTCATTTGTTTCATTTAGTAGTGGTGTTTTCTAGTCATTTTTGATCCCATAAAAAGCAGTACTGTCTTAACAAATATAAAGGATACAGCTTGCATATTTAGCTGCAATATAAAATGCATGCATGTTGGCAATAAGTAAGGACATTTCTCATGTAACAATGGGAATCATAAAATAATTTATAATTGTCTATAGACTTTATGTATGCTATGTTTCCTAGTATAGCTGACATACTTGCTGGAGATACAAATCTTTGAATATGTGTCTAAATCTATATTCGTTTGACCATCTTCTAAGTTGTTCTCTGTATGTGTATCCCCTCAGATTTACAGTGCTTTTCTCCCATGGTAACGCAGTCGACCTGGGCCAGATGAGCAGCTTCTACATCGGCCTCGGCACTCGCATCAACTGCAACATCTTTTCCTACGACTACTCAGGCTACGGTGTCAGCACTGGCAAGCCCTCTGAGAAGAACCTCTATGCAGACATAGATGCTGCCTGGCACGCCCTGCGCACACGGTATGTTATCATATAATTGTCCCATGTGTGTCCTTCAAGGCATGATTTATTATACTGTGTCTTGCTCTGCCAAGAAAAGACACACTGTTTAGATTAGGCATAAATCAAGCCATATTAAAAATATGGATGAATTCCAATGTGGATTGATTATATGTCCTAAGAAAAAGAAAGGGTGAAAAAGTAATCGAGGCAGGTGAGGGTCAAGTAAAGATGAAGATGTGAAGAAGGGGTGAATGATGTCTGTTAAGGACACTGTGGTGTCACTGTGGTGTCTCATTAGTGAAAACGGACCTGCCTTAATGTGGCTGTAACCCTGGGAAAACATAACACCAGAGAGTACTGAGTAAGAGTACACATATTATGAGGTTTTTCTGTCTCTTTGGTTGTAACCAGGTATGGCATTAGCCCAGAGAATATCATCCTGTATGGACAGAGCATTGGTACAGTTCCCACTGTAGACCTGGCATCACGGTATGAGTGTGCTGCCGTTGTTCTTCACTCACCTCTAACTTCTGGAATGAGAGTGGCCTTTCCTGACACAAAGAAGACCTACTGCTTTGACGCTTTCCCCAAGTAAGTCTCATTTGAATTTGTGTTTTAGTGCAGAGTATAATTACTGTTTTGCAAAAGATTTTTATTTTTTTATAAAAGAAATCCTACAACTGGAAATGTATACAACTGTGTGTAGACCTTAACAGGTGACCAAAATGTTCCCATAATGCTGACTATTACCCCAGGCATGATCACTTGATCATGCCTGGGATTGGAACAGTCATGTGACAGGATTGGAACAGTCATGTGACACACGTATTTGGAGGACTATAAAACTGGTCTACTGTGTAATGTTTAAGAAATATAGAGCTTGCCCTAACTTAACATAGAATAATAGTTTTGTGAGTTACACAGAGATCGTGAATGTTTGTATCACAGTTTCAGACTTGGTTTCAGAATCGTTACACCCCTACTGCCACAGGGAATAAATCTGGCCGATTTGAGAATAACAGTGTTGTTGGTTTTTACTAAATAGAAGTAGAGGCCGTTCATGTTGACAACTACTGTATTATTTATCTTCTATAGTCCATTCAAACATGTGAAAGGCATGTACCACAACAGCCTAAAACATCCAGCCACAATTGCTCTTTCCAGGGGGATGCAGTCAGGGAAACATGTTTATAGCTCAGAAGCACGAAAAGCAAAAATAATTTGACACTAAAGTGTTGATTAGAATGGGATGTTGTAGAGTAATAGAGTAATTTTAGCAAAGGTAAAATTTAATTTGAGATTGGAAGGGAATTGTCAATGGGCCCTAGTGCTGTCCATCATTTTAACCTGAATGAAAGTGAATTAGTACATCAATATAAAATTTGTATAAACGTCTACTACATACACTGTTAATGCCTATGCACAGAATGTATGTTAAAGACAGCAAACAAGGCCACACATTTGTGTGTAGTTGTAAAATGGGTGTTGTAACTGTTTTAACTTTTTATTTTTAAACCTTGGCCACAAAACACTTCCCTTGGCTTGACAATAACAATACAGAGTAATGCTATCATTAGCAAGGCTCTATCCCTGCTGTTCTTGTTGTCAGTTTAGTTTTAGCGACTGAGTCTGACGAAGGTCAGTAGCAGCCAACGCCAGCCTTAACACAGAGTCTAGTCCCAGATGGTACAAGTGAGTGAGGAGCAGAGGTGGTAGGAAACCAGGGAATGCCTCAGTGTGTGTGTAGTGAGCTGATAAAGCCTCCAGTGTTTGCCTGTTGTTCAGATTCAGAGTGGGCAGCTGGCATCCCGCCTTCCTCAGCGTATCAGTCTGTATCTTCCTCTCCTGTTTCTACATGAAATATGTCGGTGTTCCATGGGGTGAATTGATTATAATTTCAAGATTTGGTGCAGATATATATATATATATATATATATATATATGTATACACACACATACACACACACACACACACACACACACACACATATATATATATATATATATATATATATATATGTATGTCAAATCTGCGCTGGAGAGATGGTCAGGTCAGCTCTTACCTAACCTAAATCTCACTCAGGTAATAAAACCATTATTAATCAGTCATTGGACTCCACGCCGGACATTCTTATTATAAACTTTCAACTCACGTATAGAGATACTGCTATTCATTGAATAATATAGGTCAAGGGCTAGAATCCGCATGGTTACTAGGTCCATCTTTCTCTGCTCTGCTTTCAGGTTGTTTTCTCAATATTTGTCTTCTAGAAGCTAAGTAGTCATTTTGAGTCATGAAGTCCATTGGTGGTATAGATTCTAATCCTCCAACATCGCATGCTTGTAAGTCAAAGTGATTGTGTTTCGTTGCTGCGCAGTCTTCAGTGCCCACTTCTCTATGGTTTTATCTTAACAACAGCCTTGTTTGACGGATGACTTGTCACGCGTAGTTACCCCGGAGGCTCCAGATCTTGCGGTTGGCAGCAATGTGATACCCAGATCGGACTTACTATTCTTATCAATGGTTTGCCTTGTCTTCTCGTCGTTTGTTTTCACTGTTAACTTTTTATCCTTCCATCCCGTCGCCTCTCCATCTCCTGGCTTCTCCATCCCCACGTCTCCACGCTACGCTACCACTTATGAACACATTTCTGCATTGTCCCACTCCTCTCGCCTCTCTCATTTACGCTAGTGGTCGCTCCTCTCTCAGTTCATCCCCTTCTTCTGCATACCCATCACGAAACGCAGTACTCCGTCCTTCAACCCAACACTACTCACACAGGATACAGCTTGCGACTACTTTACCCCGCTTCGCAATATCACCCAACCACTCGCACCTGCCCACTCGCTCCTGGCGCACACTCAAGCCTTCACCACGCCCCGCACATTTCTTCATGTAACCCATCGGCGACACTCATACCAAATCACATTTCACTAATTGTCTATAGACTTTATGTATGCTTGTTTCCTAGTATCAGCTGACATACTGCTGGAGATACAAATCTTTGAATATGTGTCTAAAATATTCGTTTGACCATCTTCTAAGTTGTTCTCTGTATGTGTATCCCCTCAGATTTACAGTGCTTTTCTCCCATGGTAACGCAGTCGACCTGGGCCAGATGAGCAGCTTCTACATCGGCCTCGGCACTCGCATCAACTGCAACATCTTTTCCTACGACTACTCAGGCTACGGTGTCGAGCACTGGCAAGCCCTCTGAGAAGACCTCTATGCAGACATAGATGCTGCCTGGCACGCCCTGCGCACACGTATGTTATCATATAATTGTCCATGTGTGTCCTTCAGGGCATGATTTATTATACTGTGTCTTGCTCTGCCAAGAAAAGACACACTGTTTAGATTAGGCATAAATCAAGCCATATTAAAAATATGGATGAATTCCAATGTGGATTGATTATATGTCCTAAGAAAAGAAGGGTGAAAGTAATCGAGGCAGGTGAGGGTCAAGTAAAGATGAAGATGTGAAGAAGGGGTGAATGATGTCTGTTAAGGACACTGTGGTGTCACTGTGGTGTCTCATTAGTGAAAACGGACCTGCCTTAATGTGGCTGTAACCCTGGGAAAACATAACACCAGAGAGTACTGAGTAAGAGTACACATATTATGAGGTTTTTCTGTCTCTTTGGTTGTAACCAGGTATGGGCATTAGCCCAGAGAATATCATCCTGTATGGACAGAGCATTGGTACAGTTCCCACTGTAGACTCTGCATCACGGTATGAGTGTGCTGCCGTTGTTCTTCACTCACCTCTAACTTCTGGAATGAGAGTGGCCTTTCCTGACACAAAGAAGACCTACTGCTTTGAGCTTTCCCCAAGTAAGTCTCATTTGAATTTGTGTTTTAGTGCAGAGTATAATTACTGTTTTGCAAAAGATTTTTATTTTTTTATAAAAGAAATCCTACAACTGGAAATGTATACAACTGTGTGTAGACCCTTAACAGGTGACCAAAATGTTCCCATAATGCTGACTATTACCCCAGGCGATCATTGATCAACTTGGAATCAGTCGATTGGGCAACAGTCATGTGACACACGTATTTGGGGGACTATAAAACTGGTCTACTGTGTAATGTTTAAGAAATATAGAGCTTGCCCTAACTTAGCATAGAATAATATTTTGTTGAGTTACACAGAGATCGTGAATGTTTGTATCACAGTTTCAGACTTGGTTCAGAATCGTTACACCCCCTACTGCCACAGGGAATAAATCTGGCCGATTTGAGAATAACAGTGTTGTTGGTTTTTACTAAATAGAAGTAGAGGCCGTTTCATGTTGACAACTACTGTATTATTTATCTTCTATAGTCCATTCAACATGTGAAAGGCATGTACCACAACAGCCTAAAACATCCAGCCACAATTGCTCTTTCCAGGGGGATGCAGTCAGGGAAACATGTTTATAGCTCAGAAGCACGAAAAGCAAAAAATAATTTGACACTAAAGTGTTGATTAGAATGGGATGTTGTAGAGTAATAGAGTAATTTTAGCAAAGGTAAAATTTAATTTTGAGATTGGAAGGGAATTGTCAATGGGCCGCTCAGTGCTGTCCATCATTTTAACCTGAATGAAAGTGAATTAGTCACATATATAAAATTTGTATAAACGTCTACTACATACACTGTTAATGCCTATGCACAGAATGTATGTTAAAGACAGCAAACAAGGCCAAACATTTGTGTGTAGTTGTAAAATGGGTGTTGTAACTGTTTTAACTTTTTATTTTTAAACCTTGGCCACAAAACACTTCCCTTGGCTTGACAATACAATACAGAGTAATGCTATCATTAGCAAGGCTCTATCCCTGCGCTGTTCTTGTTGTCAGTTTAGTTTTAGCGACTGAGTCTGACGAAGGTCAGCTAGCAGCAACGCCAGCCTTAACACAGAGTCTAGTCCCAGATGGTACAAGTGAGTGAGGAGCAGAGGTGGTAGGAAACCAGGGAATGCCTCAGTGTGTGTGTAGTGAGCTGATAAAGCCTCCAGTGTTTGCCTGTTGTTCAGATTCAGAGTGGGCAGCTGGCATCCCGCCTTCCTCAGCGTATCAGTCTGTATCTTCCTCTCTGTTTCTACTACATGAAATATGTCGTGTTCCATGGGGTGAATTGATTATAATTTCAAGATTTGGTGCAGATATATATATATATATATATATATATATATGTATATACACACACATACACACACACACACACACACACAGCACACAC